AGCTTTATTGGCACTTGATCCAAACATTGTACAATTCTATAGTTCAATCGTATCAAGAAGAGCTGCACAATCATCACCACAATAAATTTTAGAACATTTTCTTCTTCCTTGTACTCACTGTTATTAGTGTAATTATTATATTCAATTGTGGCAAAATATATACAGCAAAACGCTCCAATTCAACTTCTACATGTATAATTCAGTGCCATTAATTATAGTCCTCATGCTGTGCAACCATTATCTATATCCTTTTCCAAATTATTCCGCCACCATTAACATAAACTCAGTGTGCTCTGAGCAAAAACTCTGTGTCCTTGCACTTCACAGTCCTAAAAGCTGACATGACAGCCTCCAGCCACTGCTAATGTTTACCCCAAAGTCAGTTTACAGATTGGGGCAATTGGAAAACTGCTGCTTTACAGCAATGCTGTCAAATAGAACTTTCTCCATTGATGTACACCTTCTCTACCTGTCCGATACAAAATAAATATCCAGTACAAAATCCATATAGCCATGTGGCTATCGAGCACTTGAAATGTAGCTGCGGCTGCAATGTAGGAATTGCATTTTTAGTGTTATTTCTTTTTAATGGATTCAAATCCAAACAGTCACATGTGGATAGTGGCTATTCTGTTGGGTAGTGCACTATAAAACTTATAATAATCAAGCTATTTCTTTGACCTGTAGGGCTCAAATTTTAAGAATGCACTTTTAATCTGTCAGGGAAAACATCTAGGAAGCTTAGTGGCAAAGTGAGTTCAATACTGGGCTGCCAACCAGAAGGTTGGTGGTTCAAATCCACCAGCTGCTCTGCAGGAGAAAGAGGAGACTCTCTGCACCCATTCTCAGAAACGCTAATGGGTAGTTCTTTTCTGTCTGATAGGGATCCTATGGGTGAGACAGTTAAGGTTGATTGTGCCAACCTGGCTGATAAACACATGTGGGATTAATTGAAGGGCAGAGAGAGAAATGGCTTGGTGAGTCTCACCTTTCTAGTTCTCATGTCTCTTGCTTTCTGATGGTTGGACCAGGGTGCAGCTGCCTTAGCCAGTTCCCTGCTTCAGCTGGCAAAGCTCACTTCCTGCGAGACATCCCTGAGGAGAAGCCTCATAGACCTACCCTGATGCAGCCCTGGGTGCTGGAGCAGCCGTGTGGAGACCCCTGCCAGCGCTGAGATGATTACCCTGTCACTGACTTGGCTTTCCTCCTGCAGTCGCCATCATTGTGTGTGTTTTGTGAGATTAGGGAGGACTTTGTAGATCGGTGTCAGAGAGATGGGCTAATGTTGGACTTATTTGACTTGGCCAGCACTGGGTTTGGATGCTTTCTGAATGTTCACTTCACCCTTTATATGAAACTCTCTCTTATACATAAGAGTTTCTGGGGATTTGTTTCCCTAGTTCACCCAGACTAACCCTTAGGGCACCTTGGGTGTGGGGTATAAGAAGGAGAGGAGATGTTTGTTTGACCTCCCCTCAGGCTGGTTTTTCTTTGGCTAACCAGGTCAGAGAAAGCCACACTGTTTACTCAGTTGTTTTCTGGGAAGATTATGAGAAGTTAAAGTTTTGATTATTTTGTTTGGTTGTAGTCTGTGGTTACTCATGTTTAAAATGGCGAAAATGAATGTGATTCATGTATATTTTGAGCTCAGGGGTAGTGTGGGGGGAGGTCAGATGCGCAGGCATTCCCCCCCTGAGGGCGATCAGTTGCCAGACTGCACTGGGCCTGCTCCCTGCTGCTGGAGACAATGGACTACTTCTCTCTGAAGCTTGGGACCATTAGCTTGGTTCCTGTAGGAGGGGTTTACACCCTACTGATAGTGGTTCCTATAGAGACCCAGAGACCACCCTC